TGTTTTATATTTTATTCTTTAATCATATATATTTTTTAAATTTTATTTTATATTTTCGATCCCTCTATAATATTATTCTGGAAATAATTTATTGTAAATTATTATTCTCATTCTTATTGTATCATTGACCAATTACACCTTTTTAGACAATATCTGCAATCCTCAATGTGCCAAAAAATACATAAAAATATGTATGAATATATCAACTTGCTTACTTTTATAACTCTTAGATTCTTATTTAAGTGTCTGCCATGACTGCAGTATTTTAGAGGTCAGAACAATCAAAAAATCTACCCTGATGATTGCAGATCCACCTTGTCTGAATGCCTGTGCTCTGCTATTTAACACTTCAAACAAACAACTCCACCTTTTCTAAAAGCCGTGTTTTGATGCTAAATGGTAATTTTTGAAGAAGAGGAATACTTTACCAAAGAAACTATTGTGTGTTTGGTTTTTAAGGAACTTGAAAACTCTGCTTGTTTAAAGCTTCTGTACTTAAAAATGAGAACATCTTTTGCCTTTTGAAAGTGTATAGAGGTTTGGTGTTTTGGACTTTTTTTTTCCAATTTAAATGAAAGGCATACTTGGCAAAGTAGATATTTGCTATACTTAACTAGAAAATTATACAAAAAATTTTAGGTAGTTTTCAAAGATGTCTTATAGGTACTGAGTATTTAGAGATATTTTTGAAATTGTGGGAGAGCAGGTTGATGTATTTCCATTGGCATCTGTGAAAACCCCAATCAGAAGTCCATACACCTGAATTATATGAAGTACAGTGCTAATGGCATAAACATCATTACTTGTGTCATCACTCTGCAGAATTTGGACTTTTGAGGAGAGAGACTGTGGTAAGTATTTTGTTGGAGCTGCATATATTTTCCACAATAGGTATTCACAGAATAAGTTAAGAATAACAGATTTGTAATATAACAAATCTTGTGTTCTGAAAGAAGAGCTCTTGTTTTAAGAGCATAGACTTGAAACTTTTGGGATTTTTAAATTTGGCATACAAAAGGGCATGTGAAGACAGGAGAATCCATAAATAATGCTGAGGTTCTAGGCAGCCTGCCATTCTGACAGCATATTTTATAAACAACCATAAATAACACTCACTGCAGCATATCAGAGACAATTATCCCATGCCATCAGCACCATTGCTCTGATTTACTGAGGTCTGTGAAGAAAAGAAATACTTACCTGTCATGCCAAACTGCAGAGCTCTAATATGGTTGATATTTTTTTCCCAGAGCTCATTATGTTTGGCTCTTGTTTTCAGTGAATCTCTCTTGTTTTGTGTTTCAAACTACAGTCAAGAATGAAGTTAGATAAGGGTTTTGGAATCAAAATGTCTGAATAGCTTCAACAGAGTACAGGTGCAGATCCTTTTGTGCTGCTGAATAAGAATAATGCTCTTATGAAAAGTGCTTTTCTTCCGTGTCTTTGAGCAAAATCCTTCTCTTTCAACATGAAGACACAGAAACAAAATAACACAGAGTTGGAAGGGCAATTCCAAGTGGTGGTTCCTGAGATTGATTGGGAGGTTCTTCCAATGACAAATAACTTAATTGGCAAAGGGGTGACCCTAGGAAAGTTTTGTTATAAGGGCTGGGTTACACGATGCACAAACTCCTATAGGAAATGGGTAGAAATGAGATCAAACAACAGACTTGAGAACCTTAATATTTTAAACCATAAGTAGAAGCCTCTAGCCCATTACCTTGGATGTCTAGTACATTGAGACCCACTGACCCTGGGTAATTTTTTCAGAGGAAAAAAGGGTTGGAAATTCTGGGGAATTTTCCTGTGTGAAGAGGTCAAACCAAAGTTCAGAAGTTATATATGGTATGGTGCTCCAAGAGGTGATATCCACACTGTCATTTGTTCCAGTGTCAGGGATGTGCAGGCTGGATTTGATGGTGTGTCTGGTTTGGGGCTTTTTTTTTGTGTGTGTATTGTTGTTGTTGCATGGTTTTGGTGGTTTGTAGGCTTATTTTTTGTCCCTTCTGTTTGGCTACGTTTTCTGGTTAAAATTGCATTGTCATATCTAGATGAATCACAGCAATAGCCTTGGAAATTTAAGTATAGCTTTGGAAATTTGAGAGCTCAGGTTCTTATCACGCTTGTTTATAAGGCGTCCTACAGCACTTCTTAACAAATCGACCTGATAGTTTGGCCAAAACACAAGTTAAACAATTTGTTTTTTCTGCTTCCAGTTCTACAGACTGATGTAGTCTTTGGCCAGTGTTTTGAAAAGCTCTTTAATATCATACATAACTTAAAAGCTGTGTTGCTCAAGTGATTCAATTGTGTTCTATAGTTCATGAAGAAGGTTTTTGGGAAACAGAAGAGTATTATTTAATGTCACTGTACATCAAAACTGGTGCTATTCTTCTAGAATAAAAAAAAATACCATTATTTACCTAACGCAGAGCACACAAAATTTAGAAAGCAGAATTTAATGATGGATGGACACTTGACAAAACAAGATAATCTTCTGTCTTGCAGGAAGTATGTGTCAGTAAGGAGTATAATTCTTCAAATTAATGCAAATAGATGGTTATTAGATGGTAGCCATCTGGAGTAGAAGCAATATTGCATGGAAAGTTTCATGAGATTAATTTAGTGTGTAATGAATAAAAGATCACTAGGAATGGCTGGTTGGTACAAAAGTGCCTGTATTTTCTGAAGTTTGATCATTCTTGTATATATAAAATTTCATTTTGTAAATCAATAACTATAAAACATTTCCTTGTAAATGCAGTTTACTTTATCACTTGTTTTCTTCTTAATTCTTTGTTACACACATTTCAGATTTTTCCAGTCCCAGTGAAATACTTGGGGTATAGGCTGATTAGAGCAAAGAGCTACTAAAAATACTGTTTGAGGCATGATGCTACTGGAAGTTAGTTTATCTAGTAAAATGGACAGATTGATATAACCTTGATAAAGGGGAATTCTAGATAATTACTGAGGTGCACTTTGAGCACCTTTGGATTTGTTTCTGATTACAAAAGAAATCCATGGGTTCTTCTGATAAGTAAAAAGCTTGGCTGTTTCTTGGCTTCACAGACTGTTTACAAAACAGACCAATATATATTGACAATATGCAAGATTTCTACTGAAAACTCACGGGATTTATGATTATAGAGCTTGTGCCATAATTTTTTTTCATTCTGCATACTGCTGTGAGCACTAGAATGCTAACTTCCAATTGTGCAAGATATTCTCACAGGATTTTCCCAGTATACTCATTGTTTAATCTTTCATAAGACTCTTCCAGCAGATGGTTTCTGCATTGTGCATATTCATTGAAATTTCTGTGGACACAAACATTTAATGACTTATCTCTGAAACAGAGTTCCATACCGGTTTCCATTGAAGCTTCTGAATTAAGGAGGCATTTCACAACTTCCAAATGGCTGTCTGTTAAAGTCCAGGAGCTGACTTTATTGAAACAAAATCACAACCAGATGTGACTCAAATGAAACCTAGTTATCAGAAGTAACTGAATAGAATCCAGAACCTGCTGGATTCACTGCTTCACTGGACTATATCTGGGTAAACTAGTTCACGTTGGAGAGGTACAGATTCACAAGGTTAAAAAATGATAAAAAAGATTATGCAGACAGTTGACCCTTTCTGCAACACCTCAAAGTGTAAATCTGGAACCATATTACTAAGTAAACAATTAACATATATTATAATTAATAGTAGAACATGTGAGGAGAAAGCTTTGATATTTGACTAGATACAGAAAAGAGACTCTTAATCTCCTCCTAATATATTTTTTCCCCTGTTCCTGATTATGGCATATGATTCAGGAAAAATTATTCTAAAAACAATCTCTTTTTGCTATACTGATGTGAATGATGTTAGTGAAAATTATGTGTTAAGGTATGGTGTTGCCTAGCAAAAATGTCAGAACTGCCTGTGGGAAGTGCAAATTATTGAAGAAATTTATTGTAATTTTTTTGACAGATGAATTCCAAAGACGAGAAGAAATATTAAAGAGGGGGGAAAAGGAGAATCGAGTATGTCTTTGTATATTCTAGCTCAGGCATTTCCTCAGAACCAGGGTTACCTGGCTGAAGTTTGAGTGTTAAAAAAAAACAAGTTGCAATTTCAAATCAATGCCCACGTACAGCAATGCCTGGAAATTAGTAATTGCCTTCATTCCATAACTGAAAATATACAGAGAGCTCTTTGACCTTTGCTTTGTGTCTCCTCTAGTTGTGGCTCACACCAGGTGAGCGCTGGGCAGCGCCTGAGGCAGCACAGATGTTGTGCCCAGGCACAGGAGCTCAGCTCCAAGAGCAGGGAAGCTGTGTCTGAGTGGACAATTTTGGCAGGTGCTTGGCTGGCTTGGCTTGAGGCTGGCAGCAGCTCAGGTATTCCTTTGTTGATTTTCATAGAGACATGCATCAGTTTGGTCTTTGGTCATAGCATTTTGTCATGATTTTGACTTGTCATTGTCTTTGAATCACAGGAACATCCACATATCCAGAGCAATCTCCACTCTGAACCATGAACCCTATTCTGGCTGTTACAAGTACAGAAATTTGCTTTTATTTCTTTCAGAGACTTGCTATTTAATTCTTGTGTTCAGTAGTTCTGCACTACTTTAACTGAGAATCTGGATCACTTGAGTGACTCTAAAGGAGAAGTCTAGTTCAGTAAGCTTTGAATTTGAGGGAAAAAGTCCCACTATCCTGAAAGTTATTCAGGCAAAAATGTTGGTTGTTAGTTATTATTTATTGACAATAGACAATAATAATGATGCTCATGACTGAACATATTTCCAAGCCCACATAGCCAATCAATGACTTGTAGTTAAGACAGATAAAACATAAAGACAATGTGCTATACACCTGGGATACAAGGATCCATGGGTACTGTGAGGTCTGATGGTACAATATGTGTGAATAAAAGTTGTGTGATAATTTTTTTTTTTTTACTTCCTTCCTCACATTTCAGCCTTAACATTTTAAATTTACCAGAATTGTGCTTTTAGGACTGTACTGATGTCTGCAATATACTACCATTTCAGGATGAGTTTTGTGTGGTTTTGGGTGCAATTAAGGTTAGATAAATAAATAAAACCATACTTAGAAATATTTAAATGTATTATGCAATGTTAATATTCACATACTGATGATTAAGCAGAAGATAGAGCTCTGGTTATTACAAGCATGTGCATTACTGACAATATTATTAGAACCATTAAACTCTGTTGGTAAAGTGGAATAAATTAAATTAAAGTGTTTGTTCAATTTTCCTTGTGTGCTCAAACTCCAAATTTAGCATGTTTTAAAGCCTTTTTAAATTTTGTTGCTCTTAATATTACTGAAGTCAAAGATGTATAAATGTCAAATTATGCTCATTTACCCTGGCTAACAAAACAAAAATGTATACACACTATGGTAGGGATGCAATAACTGTATATTCTAGTAGCAGATTCTCCATACTAATTCTGGGGTTTTCTGGGGTTATACCGATTCAAGAGGGTCTTTCTCCAGATGTCATTGTTCAGTATATTTTATTTATGACAGATCTTTTCTGCATTTAAAACTGCATGCAGACTTCTTAAAAATATTGTTATTTCATCACAAGAAACAGAATAAGAAAAGTTTTTGGGGAAAAAAATGAACCATAACCCTGTAGTTTTGAAAGCCAAAATGCTTAGTAAGCTGGTAGAATTACATTACTTACAGAATAATATTTAATGTTTAATATTTAATATTTAATTCAATATTTAATAATATTTAAGCTTTTTAAAGCTTCCTTCAGCTTTTCAGCTACTTTTGTTCAATGATAGTATGAATAGTTTGATGTTTTGCTAATTTTTCAAGAATCACATATGTACAAGACAAGCGTATCAGACTTGTTTTCAATTTTATTTTAGTGGATTGAGTAGGATCATGAAATAGAGGGTAGAAAAGGAACTGTGTAATTTTACTCAGAGCACCGGGCTGTCTTCTTTATTTTTACCGAGGTATGTGAGAGAATCATATTTTTCAGAAAAATCTTGGAAAAAAGTGAGGCTGGAAAGTGTGGCAGGAGAAAACAGAAGTTAATGGCTAAAATATACATGAAGTAGACAAAATTTAAAAAGATATTTTAAAACAACATCTCATACATGGAACTATCAAAACTCTACACATGCATATCATATTTAATAATTTTTTATATTATACCAAGTTATTTTTGATTACTAAGGGTCTGATTTGATAATTTTGGAACTGGTATAATATTTCTGAGATACCTCCCTATGAGAAAGAGCTACTCACCAAATGAAATGTTCCAAATTTTCTCTAGATAATCTTCCAGCAAACAGCAGCTTAATGTATGCATGATATATATGAAGGTATAGGTTTTCAAAGTTCATTTATGGAATTGGTGTTTTCTAATCAACCTATAATCATGTGTGTGGAAACTAGTTATACTTTTATATTTACTCAGTGCTTAGGAATTGTTATAAAGTTTTTTATGACCTGCCCCATAACATGCCCTTGTGTTAAAAGCTATGATTTTGTATTGCACCCGGAAATGCAATGCTATGGTCTGAACAACTGCAAGAATTTTGAGCTTAACTTTACAGCATTTAGTTGTAAGTTTTACCATCATGGTGTCACTGATTGCGAAAATTGCATTGGCTGTAAAAATCAATCACTTACCAGGTGAAGTGATGGCCATGCATGATGAAAAGGAAAAGCGAGCCTGAGCCTCACTTGAAACTATTCAGTTTGTCATGAGGAAAGACTAGACAGGAAAAAGTAAGCCCCCTGGTAAGACATTTTTCTTATTTTTGGTGCAGAATCCTGAGAGTTTGTGGAGTTTGTGATGCCTTTGCTGTGCTCCTGGGTGAGCCTGTGTTGTTTAAAGCCCAGCATTTTGGCTGTTTCCAGTAGCAGCCCACTGCTGGTCTTGTCTGGGCAGGGCAGAGCCCCAAGAGCAGTGTGGGCTTGTGCTGGCCCCACTGGCTGGGAGTCCTTTCCCTGTGTCCAGCAGCCCTGTGGCCTCCCCAGCTGCTCGGACCCCGGGGCAGTGGAAAAGGGAACACCTTCCCTCTGCTCCATGGGTCTGCCCAGCCCTGAGCAGCACAACTGATGCTGCTGTTTGTTCAGACACAGAATGTCATAGGGGTGACAGTTCATTTTGCCACGAGATTCACTCACTGCCATTTGAATTTCAGCAGCTGTGTTAAAGGCAAACACGTGGACTACCAGCTAGCTGTAAATTCAGTGAAGCTTAACACTCTTTTCACTCACGTGCTTGTGAACGTACAGCAAATATGCTAACCAGGGGCCTGGCATGCTGGGAGTGTGTTTTAAAGGGATTAATTAACGTGAGGAAAAGCTGATTTATGGCTTCAGGACCCAGAGCCAGCTGAGGAATACATTATCTGTTTGCAGATCAGCAAAGCGTGCTATGCTGGCAGGTCAAGAGTGGCCAACTCTATTCCCACCCAGTACTGAACACCTTAATTAGAGGAACCTACCAGAAACTTTTGGCATCTTGAAATTTGCTGTAGCATGGTACGAATTTGCAGCATCTTAAATGAAGTAAGTTCCAGGGCTCAGGTTTCCTAGATATAAAATAAATTTCTCAAAGCAGTGAATCACAATTAATGAACAACCATGCGTCAATTATTGGCAATCCCTTCAGATTATGCTGCACAGCAGCAAGATACTTTCTTCTTCTAATAAGGCCTAACATGACATAAGGTTCTATCTGAAGGACCTTCTTGCTTTATTAATCTCATTATGACCACTTGAATTGCTACATCCTCTGTAATGATTAAAACATTTGACTCCCAAGTGTGACATTGTAATGAGGATGGAGTTCACAGAATAAGGCATTGTATCATCCTCAAAGGCTGGCACCAAATAGAAATAAAAAGTCCAACTCCTCAGTGTCATTTCCTTACTGTTTCCATGGAAAAAAACCTAATAAATTTTACATATATATGCAGGTTTTCAAACACAACCAAGTAGTCTCACATAGAAGATATATTTTTTAAATCTTAAAAAAAAAAAATAGATGTCTTGAGCACCAGTTTTAAAAGAAGTATGATTTACTAATGTGAAGTGCCAAGCTAAAATTGACCACATGTAATATAATGCCCTCCTCTTCCCACCATGTGTATATTTTTGGGTTGGACTGAGACTGACTAGCCAACTTCCAGTTTGACAAATTATATATTTTTTCTTGTTCTTTGCACTTATTTGCTTGAAAATTTATACTGTTCTCCATTTTCTTGAATGTGCCATTGCTCTGTGGGAGTATACAATTATATACATATTGAGAAACAGGCTTTCATTAAAAAAATCTTCATCTCTTATCCCAAAACTAAAAATGTCTGTATAAAATTTGAAATAAATCTTGTTCCTAAGTAATAAAGCCAAATGAAAGAAAGATAGGAAATAAAATTGTCTTCTGCCACTTTTTTTTCTGCAGGAATCTTGAGGAAGATAAATTTGGACACTCTTCAGTGTGATGATTTGGAGTAAAAACACGTGTTGGTGAAGCAATCCTTAGGTATGAGATGAATTAGGAACAGAAACAGAATAATACCACTTCAGGTCTTTCTTGTTTGTTTTGTTTTTTTTCAGCTGTGTGGAGGAGGGTTGTTTTTTTTGTTTTTTTTCTGATAGAATGAGTTAATCCAGCGATTTTTTGGTTCAAGAGAAATTTCCTTGGGTGCAACTGTTACCTTAAAGGCCTTCAGCCCTGGCTCTAATTGTGATTTTCTGCCAGCAGTTTGTCTGTCCCAGCATCAAAACCCAAGTGACTTCAATTAACTACATGTTCAGTTTCTTTTTTTATGCTCTCTTTTTTTGGTCTAATTACCCACCTAATGTATACACCCAATTCCCCAAGTTATGTGTTGTTTCCTATTCTTGGTGAAAGCAGGAAGGGAACATAACAGCATACTGTATTATTAGGGAAAATGTTAAGATTTGAATGCAATTTGAAAAAATATGGAGGAACTCTTGCTTTTGTAACCTTCTGGGAAATATTCCCCAGGAAGTCAGGGAACCTGGAGTAAATTTGTTTGGGTTAAAATTGGTCTACAAGGGGCTAGAAACCTGCTGACCTTTTGGATAAATTTATTTCCAAATTATGTTTTTACTGCTATTTTGATTTTGAACAAGTCAAATTTTGCTCAGACTTTTGCCTTTGTCTTGCTATTTGACAAAAATTCTGCTGTTCAAAACCATTAAAGGGGAGCAACAAATAGAACAGATAGTTGGAATCTAATTATCAGTGAAGTGGAGAAAGAGCTATCCATCATCTTGGGTTTAGTCTTGGGAGAAACAATGTGTGAGAATGTAAAAAATCCCATTAGGACATCATTCTCTGCATTCCTGAGCATTTCATATTGTATGTATTAGAGAAAAAAGTAAAAGACACTCTCCTCCTCTCTCCCCTGCCCCTGATTACAGAGGTTAAAGCACAGAACCAAAAGGATGGACTATAAACTATGGATAACCTGTTGCAAGAAAGCTAGAAAAAATGCTGTATTATACTGAGAGATTTTTTTCTGAGGGTCATTTTTACTATTATTTGTTTTATAAGGTCACTTTCCTATGATGCTATTTGAGAATGTCTTATGCATGGAACTAAAAATAATTCCCTTTATTTATTGCATGGAAGGGATTGTGAGCTTTTGGAAGCTGCATGGTTTGCTAATTATATCATTGTCATTCAGTTGTCAAGTTAACTGAATTTTCCACTTGGTCTAGGATTGGGTAGAATTTGTTCTCGTTAGTCTTAATAGGAGAGAGACAACAATTGCACCAGAAGGGATCATATTCTCCTTAATGTTCTTTGAAAACATAACTGCTTCGGGTCATTACAGCACATGTGTGCATGATAAATATTTTATCACTGTAAATTGGGCTAAGGCTGGGTGGTTTAGTTTGGGACGTTGATTCAAATGTCAACAGTGAATCTGGCTTCCATATTTCTGCATAGTTTTCATGTTCCATTTTATATTCATCCTTTCATTAAAAGGAAGTTTTGTTTTATCCTGTGGAACAGGAATAAATACATGGCATATAAAGAAGCTGCAGCCTTGTCAAGAAGACAAGAAAGCTGACCTTTGGGTTCTAGGCAAGAGTTTTCAGAAGGAAAAATGCAGATGGAATAAGGAGTTCTGAGCTTCATTTTCCTGTTCTCATTTCTTAGTAGCCTGTTCAACCTTGTGTTGTAACTGCACTGATGCAAAGCTGGGGTAGTGACAGTTCTCATATCTTAATGCAGTTTGAAAAAAGGAGAGACTCTAGGCTCAAATTCCTTTGCTGCTAGAGAGGATTAATTTTTTTTTTCTCAAGAGTCTAAAGATGACTATTTGACGTGTGTCCTAGAAGCTGCTGATATACCTAGTCAGTCTCCAAAATCAGGTAAATCTCAGCAATCCAAGGTGTGCTGATATGGATGTATGGAAGTGGATATATTTTAAGATTATATGGTTAATATTTTATTGTGACTATTATATATAAAACTGAAGTGATCAGCCATTTTAGACAAAGGAATTTCAATTTATTATCTCAAGAAAACAAATAGGAGAAATGGAGAAAGGAAATTATTCCATGCATTAGTTGTGAATGGTAAGATCTTACATAGTGCTATTTTCACTCTATCCATACAGTAAGAACTCACTTCAAGAGGTTTCAGGTGTTTCATTGCTAGTAGTTGGTTTTGATTTTGCCAAAAGTTGTTACAAGCCTTCATCTGTTATAGACTCTTTTTTATAACACTTTAATTAGCTATATTCTTTTTACAAATAATGTCGGCTGTTTCTTTATCAGTAGAGCCCTGTTTTCAGTTTGTTACTCTCTTTTCTATTTAAAGATTGTTTAATCCTTACTGAAATACTGGAATTATTAAAAAGACAAACACACTTGAAGTGGACAGAGTACCTTGGGAATATTGAAAGAGTATAATGTATATACATAGTGTAGTTTTTTGTGCCTGTAATGAAATGTATTAGAAGTGTTGGTACAGTGCCATTGCAAGGCAGTTCCAGATACCAGAGGCACACAGCATGATTTGCTATTTAGCTAATCCTGGAAGATAGGTACTTGTGGGCTTGCAGCAATATCCCACTGACAGTGCTGTAACTCCTTTAAGGTGAAAGCACAACTACTGCACCTTAATTAGTTAGAACTACAAAACTCCCACTTGAAAACCTTTTTCCAAAAGCTGCTTGGGTTTTGGCTCCTTTTTTTTTTTTTGGTGGGGGAGGGCATAATTTATTCAACTCCTGTTTCTCAGTATCACCGTGTTTAAGAAAATTTAGGAATTGAAAAGTCAGGAATACAAAAGCTCATGCTGAGAAGAGAGTGAAGTCCATGTGTTTTGTTTGCATATACATGAAACTCGTATTCAGATGGAGTATTTGTCAAACTGCAATCCCTTAAAAATGGATCTCAAAAGGCTTCTTCAAATAAAGATTAAAACCCCCAAACAAACAAACAAACAAAAAAACCCCCACCAGATCCTTTCTGACAATGCTGCAAACAGCTTTAACAGTGTCGATCATAAGGCTTGAGCTGTCCAGGGATACCATATTTTCCATTATAGGTATATTCCTGCTGGTCCAGGGCAGAGTTTCTGCAGTCGGTGCTGTCAGTGGTGGGAGGAGCTCATGGGTGCAATGGATTCTTTTCTGTTATTGACTGAGGACTGTTTTAGTTTGCTGTAACACTCTGCTGTTTATACAATCATGAAAATAGATGTACTTTTAGCAAGAAAACAGAATGTGATGGTTCGGTGTGTTGTCATTTTTGGAGAAACCCTTTCTTCCAACAAGAGCTCTGTGAGGCTGACTGGAGATCAGCTGTTTCCCCACTGCAGTTCTTAGCAGACCTCCTTGGACTCTGTGTTATGGAACAATCTCTGTCCTTTCTCACTCCTTACTCTCCTGTCCTGATGTATTTTTTGTCCAAGAAGTAATGGGACTGAGATTCCATGGCAGCTGAAAGAGTTGCCAGCACATCATGACAGAAGTTCATCTCTCATGTGGTAATTGCTCCTCAGCGTCTGCACAGCAGGCTCTCACTAAATTTAGATATTCCCATTCTAGCTCTGTTAATGTATGTGCCAGGTAGGGTGAGTTCTGCTGTACTTGAAACTACCTCTGAGTTCCATGGGACTAAGGAGGACGGGATGGCACTGTTAATGTAATTTGTAGTCCCTTTGGGACAATGAACAGGCTTTTTTAGTGAACTCCACCTGTTTTCACTTCTGTATCCTTGTGATTACTCTGAAGGCGAGGAGAGTAAGGGTAAAACCCATCATCATTTTAGTTCCTTGTAGCTTTTTCTGTAGTTTTGTTCTTCATCACTTATCTTCTCATATAAATAGCCACTAAGAGCTCTATTAAAAAGTTCTTTGATCAGGGTCAAAGAATTATCAAAGCCAGCAAACTAAAAGTTGAATTGGCAACTAGATGCTTGGAAGAAATGAGCACCATTTGGCTGTGAACTACCTTTAACCAAGATTTAATTACAATATTCATTACTTCAGAGACTAGAAAAACTCAATATGACAATCTTAAGGGACCAATAGTAATAAAATAATGAATGAAAAATTCTAAAATATAAGCCAAGTGAGAGAGTATATCTGTATCAGTAAAAAAAATGTAATTAAAACAGTCATTTAATTTCAAACCTGATTGTTTTGTGTAGTCTTTAGAGAAAAAGGCTAAAAAGAGAAACCACTGAAAAAACCCTGGAAAATATCTGCTTGTGCTCCTGCTGGATGCTGAAAATGGTTATGCTGTTAGTCATGAGAGCTTTCTGTGAATTTGGGTCAGTCATACATATATCTTGCTATAAACATTGTACTTTTTTATTCCTTATTGGCCCAGTTCCTTGGCTGGAACATCATACCAATGTTAAATCCCAACCCATCTGGTAACTGAGAGAAGAGCCCAAATGTCAAGGGGCTTCTTTTGTAAAATATATCTGATGCCTAATCATAATGTCCCTCCTTGCAAATTGCACATAGTTATTACTTGATTTTGTTTTAATCCAGGTAATTTACATGACAGCCACTCAGACTGTGCAGCACAAGAACATTTTGAGTTTTAATTCAATTATAATATCTGCAGAATTGGTTTAATCTTTGATTTGTGATAGCACATGCATTTTAATAAACTGTGCATCTGCTCTGGACACCTCATATAAATTGTAAAACTAACTCAGGAGTTCAAGTGTCAAGTGGTTTATTTTTCAAATGTCAGCAATTTCGGAAACTGCATTTATCCTGCATTAATATTTTTACTTGCTCTATGCTGTGAGATAGTGACATTAATCTATTACTGTGTATTAAAGCCACATCTTTGGTAGATAATATCAAATTGCCACTGAATGGTTGCAGGTGCTGGTTCCTGCTGTTATTTATATCAAACTCCTGAAATTGTCATCACCTGTAAGCAGCTTGGGCCTTTCTGAACAACTCCCATTGATTTCAGTGTGGCTTATAGTAACCCTTGGAGGAGAGCAAAGGATGCTTTTTAAGACAATGCT